CCAATAAATTAAAGAACAAAACCAAAATTACTTTTATCTGAAAAGCATATCAACAGCTTACTAAAATAAATTACTATAAGGGGATGTCATTTGCAAACTATTCTGCTGTTATCCGGTAAATTATTGTACAATTCATGATCTATATACTTCTCGACATCTGTTAAATGTATTATCACCAATAATAAACAGAAATAAACTGTTTAGCAAAATATACTCCATGAAGTAGCCACTTATTTACAATTTCTACATTTGCTAAGACATTTAACAACTTCGTTATTTATTACTATAGATTTATAAAAAAAAAACACATTCATTAAACAATCACAAAAAATATGAACAGTTCAAGTATCAACTATTTGATTTGAAAAAGACAAGAGCATGATCAGAAAATAAACTTTCTCTACCATTTGCCAGTTCCTGAAAACCAACAATATCATCGTTTTTACAGTCGTTAAAGAATGCAGATGATAATGATATTTCATCAAACATCAGAATACAGTTTTTGCTATTCACATATTTTTTCTGTGCCATAGCTGAACCCAATGTTTGGAAAAGGGTCTCATTAATACCACTATACAAGGGAATTGCTGAGAGCAACTTTCTCAATGTTTGAGGAGCAGGCAGAACAAATATTTTTCTCCAAAAGTAATAACCTCTTAGAGAAATTTTATGCAGAGTTAAAGCAAGAATTTTATCATCAAGTGTAAATTTTCTTTCTTTTCGCTTCTTTGTATGTTCTCTTAGTTGCCTTAATATAAAATTACGAGCCCTCTTATTTAATGTTGCTGGGAGATAAGCAAAATTGTCAGCACATTTGACACTTTCTTGTAACTTCTGCCTCAATATTTTTTTTGTATATTTATCCTTCTGACTTCTTTTCTCAATACATTTGTTATATGGTATAAATTTTGTTTTTTGCATATCTGGTCTCTGCAGTGCTTAAGAACCTCTGCTGAAAAAAAATATCTAGAATCATTTGCTACGAACTTAATTTGTAGTATAAAAATTTTTAAATAACTCACCTTTCAGGGACGGTTTTCCATCTTCAGTTTTGCCAGAACAATACAAAAAAGTGTTATAAAAAAAATAATTTTTCAATAACATAGCTTCCAGAAAGGGATTTAGTAAGACGGGTGTCTTGTATTTATAACCTTAAAATTCCTAGCATTGATACTGTTAAATGTCTCAGTTATTGAGCTACAATAAAAAATTATATCAGAAGTTCTAGTAATAGATGCGAGTATTTTGTTGTGTACATATTGATAAAACTTATTCACCTAGTTCTCACCATCAGTGCTCAGCCCGGGCTCCAGTTATTTTACTAATCATTTTACATATTACGTCTTTTTCTGCAGGAAATACACCATTTTCGCATATTTGTTGGTGTTCCGCATTATTGTACACCGCACAACAAACGAGGTTTAACAAACATTTGACACTTTGACACTAAAATATTATTCCGCCATATTAGATTCTCGAATATTTTCTTTAGCCCGTTTTGTAGCGCTACCAGCGCTCCAAACGAGGGAGAGGGAACTAAAAACGAGATTACAGATGTTTGTTCCGTGATTACCGGCCATGGTTCTAATATATGCTAAAACTGTCAAAAAATGATAAAACATGAATTTAAATTGATTTAAATGTTGGAAATTGATATTTTTGGAAATATTTTGTAAATATTTAAAATTTATCAATTTATAATTAATTTTTTTATATACATTTTATTGAGACAATTGGATTTGTGACTGTTCAACTGTCAAATTTGAATTTGTAGTCAATGTTGAGTACTTTCATTTATATATAATATTTAATTTTGATATCTAATATGTTTTTAATATAATTTACAATCTATTTGTGTCACTTTTTGAGATTTTTCACTTTATTTACGTTTATATATAAAATTATTGTGTTAATTGACATTTGACAGGTGACGGGTGACACTTGACAGTTGTCAGTTGACAGTTGAATAACGTCAAAGTTCAAGTTAAACATAATCTCAAATTTTTAATAAAACTGCAAATATTCAATCATTTTCATTACGTAAATAACAGATTCGTATTTATAATTACTAATAATATTAATTTTATATTAAATAAACAGCCGAATTAAAAAACATTAGTTAATATTGTATCTATTATACACCAATAACCTTAAAGACGCAAAATTAAAGGGAAGATACATATTATATGCAGACGATACAGCGATAGTATATGCGGATAAGGATAAAAAAAGACTCGAAGATATTATAAACACGGACATGAAAATATACACCGAGTGGCTAACTGAAAATAAACTAACAATTAACATAGATAAAACAAAATACATATATTTCAAACATAGAAAAAATACTGAGAACACTAAACTAAAAATTGAAGTAATAATAGAGCAATAGAGGAAGTGGAAAGCATAAAATACTTAGGACTGATAATAAATGAAAAACTGACATGGACAGACCATATAAACAAAATAAAAAGAAAGATAGGAACATTACCGTGGCATTGAAACGGATCCACTCTTTCGGCAAAAAAAATAAAATACTAATTCTTAAACGCAATATACCTATAATTTTATATGGCATACAACATGGAGCCAAACAACTAAAGCAAACCTAAATGACATACAGAGAAATAATGAATAAAGCCATAAAAATAGCATATAATTTACCACATCTAACACCCACCAAATACCTGCAGAGAGAAACAAAAATACATTCACTAAATAACATAATTGAAATAGAGAAATGCAAACTAATACACAAAATGAAATTTACCCGAATTAAAACAAGTGCAACAATAGACACAAATCAAGATATACATGAACACTACACGAGACAACACAACAATTTTCACATTGAACGCATAGAGAAAAGAATTTGAGGAAAATGTCATATGGAGTGCTACCAAAATATAACGAATTGCCAGACTATATTAAGATGACCAATGATAATGAAATTTTAAAAGAAAAATAAAGTGAGCTATATAGAAATTGAAGACAAGAAGACTGAAGATTTATATATATATAATATATAGATATTATTTAATGAAATAGATTTATAGTCAAATGAAATGTAAATATTATATGAAAACTGTTTTTCATAATCTCTCATACCAGGGCACCTCTTTCGACTGAGATATGAAAAATAATGTATATATGTAAATAAATAAAATAACGTTCAAATAAAAAAAAAAAAAATAAAAAAAATAAAAAAAAAAAAAAAAAATATCATTTATCTTGACACTTCACTATGGTTCTAATATATGCTAAAACTGTCCACAAAAATGATGCAAATATGAATTTTAAATATTAAAATTATATTTTTTGTAGACTATAATTTATTATTAGCAAAATATTGTATATCTAAAGCATAAGCGATTTAATTTAGATAGATCAACAATTGTTTACGATTTAAATTAAATATTTTCAAAACACGAATCGTTTGCGGTTGCGGTTGACAGTGTTAGGTTGATTGACAGTTTTGTAACCGACCATATTGGAAATCAAAAATGATTTGGTTCATTTTTTATATTATTGTTTAGATTCTTTAAATTTTGTTTTAACACTTATATATTATTATATATCATTAGAAAGCTAATAAAATTATGTACAAATCTTAATATAGTAATTTAAAACTTATTTGCTTCTAAAACTATAAAATAAATTTTTATAAACCTTAATTTAAATCGTACCAAATGGCGGTTGTGTCAGTTCATAATAAAACCTCTTGTGATAAAAATATAACAACTTATTAACACTTAGTACCCACGTAATTAAGTGTTAATATTAAATAAACATTTAATATTTATCATATATAATTAATTTATATTTCATTTATATATCATTTATCATATCGATATTTAGTAAAGTTTATAGGTTTATCTTCAGGTGATGCAATATTTTTGACACTTGGTGACACATGTCTTAAACCACAAATTGTTCGCATTTATTTATGTAATATTTTTTAATTTTTAATCTAATTGTGTGTGTTTAAAGTGCAACAAATAAATTTTAATAATGCCTACTATTGGTGTGAAACGAGATTTATTGTTTATTAAGGCTTTGGGGAAAGAATACAGTAAGTGATAAATGAACTAGATAGAAAACATTTATAAATAAAATGTAAATGAAATCATTGTTTAAAATTGTATAAAGTAGCCTTAGTAGATGACAAAACTTTATAGATTAGTGTAATTATTTATTATTATATTTGGTTATTAAATGTGGCAAAAGTTTTGCCGGTGAACATATGTTACAAGACCTAGCTCCTATTGACTTAATCATGTTTACATTTCACGCCGAAGAAGAGTTCCAAAATCTGTGTTTTGCCTTTGGTTGGAACTTGATGAAGTGGTGAGTAAACTTAGTATAACTTTTTTCTGAATAATTATGCATTAAGTTCCAATGACAATATTATATATTATTTAGATTTTTCTATGACTATTTCTCATTGTGTCTTTTTATTCTAGACGACAGAAAAGCACATGTTAGTGAAAGAACAAGGCGATGTTTCTGCAGCTAAAGATGCCTCCGAGGAAATTATTTACAGAATTGATATACCAGCAAACCGTTACGATTTGCTGTGTCTGGAAGGCTTGGTTGCGGGGCTTCTTGTATTCCAAGGAAAGTAAGTAATATTTTTAAAATTTTAAGATCTTAAAAATGGTTGGGTATGAATTTTGTAAAAATGTATTATTGAAGTGATAACTTTCATTTTTTAATAATAAAAGAATTATTTTCATATACATTTCTAATATAAAAAATATTATTAAAATATAAAGTATTGCTTGTATAAATATTTTAATGAGATTTCTAATGAAGTCGTGTTAAAATAGAAAGAGACAAAATGGAAATGGAAGCATAATAAAAATATATGAAATTGTTGTAAGTTGTCTGAAAGTCCTTCCAGCGATCTGGATGTGTTCACTAGAAGTTTCAACAAAATCTTCATTTTTTTTTATAGCATAAAATACTACTTTCACCTTATTATTTTTTTTGTATTCTAGAATGGCACCTCCAAAGTTTCGGTTGACTGATAACTCGGACAAAATACAGCAATTGGTTTTAACACCAGCCACAGCTCAAATTAGACCATTTGCAGTTGCTGCAGTTTTAAGAAACATTACATTCACACCAGATAGTTATAACAGTTTCATCGACTTACAGGTAAGGAACAGAAACAGAAACAATTCATATTTTTCATAAAACCTCCGCTTTGCCCTTATCACGGAAACCGCCATTAGGCATTACTTTGTGGGGGGAGGATCTAGAATCATAGAAATTATATTCCCAAGTCTAATTATCTTTATCCTTTCTTTTTTAGGATAAACTCCACCAAAACCTCTGTCGCAAAAGATCACTAGTTGCAATAGGCACACACGACTTAGACACAATTTCTGGACCGTTCACTTACGATGCTCTTCCTCCGAACGAAATTAAATTCAAACCTTTGAATCAAGATAAAGAGATGACGGCTGTTGAACTTATGGAGTTTTATTCGGTAAGTTGATAAAATAAAAATCACATAATAAATAATTCAGGCCTTATCATTAATTTTCTATTTGTATCTATTTATTAGACCCATGCTCAGTTGAAGCAATACCTTCCAATAATACGTGAAAGTCCGGTGTATCCTGTTATCAAGGATTCTAAAGGAATTGTTCTGTCTTTGCCGCCGATTATAAATGGAGATCATTCCAAAATTACGTTAGATACTAAAAATGTGTTCATCGAATGTACGGCTACTGATTTAACTAAGGTAAGTGATTTTTTTAATTTTTTTTTTAATTACAATATATGTTACAACTGCTGAATATTTTAAAATCTAGTAACAGTAATGAACAATAACATAAGTTTAATGAAGAAATAGTACAAAGGATAGTATTTATAATTAAAATGATATCCGTAGTATGATGATTTAATATAAAATAAAAGCAAATAATAATAAAATTAATAAAAACAATAATTGTCAATGGATTTCATTTATATTCTTATAGGTTTCTATTTAGATTCTGTTAGTTTCTTTTTGGATTTTTAGAAGATTCTTTCTAGAGTCTGTTTGCTTTTTTACAGAAATTTCATTGGATATTTACTAGAATAATATTACTTATTACTTATATCTTTATAAGATTATCTTTTTTATTCTTATTAGGCTCTTATTACATTGTTATTAGACTCTTATAAAATTCTTATTGGATTCCTTTTAGATTTTATAGGTTTCTTCTTTTAAGTAATGATTGGTTTCTTGTTGGATTCTTATAAAGATAATTTAATTACTTTTTTAATCATATATAATAATATATACTTGTTTGAACAAATTATTAACAAAATCAATCAAAATATAAAAATATGTAACCAGCAGACATCTTGGTTTACCAAAAGTGACGTCACTATTAAATTATAAAGTTTAAACAATTATTTTAACATAATTTTGTTCCAAATGTTTTTTAGTGTTATATACAGATTTATAGATAATTTTATTAGCTTTCTAATGATATATAATAGTATACACTTATTTTAACAAATTATTAACAAAATTGATCAAATTAAAAAAAAAATGATATGGCGCGAACATACTCCCGGCCTTGAAATACACGATTTCAAAAATTCTTGCCGAAATCTTTTTGCTTTTTTACAGAAATTTTATTGCGGTTAAAATTAAAATTTGATTGGACTCTTTTTATATTCTTGTTACATTTTCATTGGACTTGTATAAAATAGTTGATTTTTTTTAATTACAATATATGTTACAACTGCTAAATAATTTAGAACAATAATATAAATTTAAATAAGAAAAAGAAGACGAAATAAAGGAGAGTATTTACATTAAAATGATATCCGTAGTATGATGATTTAATATAAAATAAAAGCAAATAATAATTGATAATAAAATTAATAAATGAAATAAATAAAATTTGTGAATAATAAAAATAATACTAGAAAAACTATAAAGTGTAATGAAAATAATAAGTAACTAATAAAAATACTAAAGAGTAATAAATATAATAAAATAACAATATTAGAAGCTATGTGAATAAAACGTGTTTAAAAACATTATACGCGGGGTGGGTATAAATACCCGTTTTGAGGATTTTTATGAATTTGATTGTTTTCACTTTAAAATTAGTTTTTATATGATATTGATAGAGTTTGTTGATAATTTTGTTTTCTGTAGATTTTGAAAATTTTGTTGTTTATTTTAGTATTTTGGTAATTAGCAATATGTTATTTTAGGACATTTTTTATGTTTATTCAAAGATAGAATTTGTTGGTAGTTTTTTGTGTAGATTTTGTAGATTGTTGCTGTTTATTTTAGTATTTTGATAATTAGCAATATGTGGATTTAGGACAATTTTAGCGTTTATTCAAATAATTTAATTTTTTTATTCTAAACATTATAATTTGTATACATTAATAAAAACTAGATAAAATTTACTAAAATCTAGTAAAAATTGTTATATACACTTTTGTATCAAAATTTTGAATAATTTGTAGTCGAATTGCGGACTTTAGTATTCTTATATATATATGAATTTAGTACATTTTTTTACTTTTCTTTAAATTACTTTTAATTTTTTTCTAGGACATTATGATTTATTTACATTAGTGAAAATCAGATAAAATTTACTAAAATCTAGTAAGTAAACAGCACATACATAATGAACTTTTCATTAAAATTTGTTGAAACATTTATTTTCTGGTAATATAGTTAGCAATATTTTAGTCATTTTTTTACATTTTTTTAGAAATATCTTGGAAATTTGTTCCCAGCTACTTTTATTTTAGTTTTGTTTTTTGTTTTTTGTTTTATATACAGCAGTGAAAACTAGATAAAATGTACTAAAATCTTGTAAAAACTGTTATATATACTTGAATATTGAAATTTTGAATAATTTGTAGTTGAATTCGGGCATTAGTATTAATATATGAATTTAGGACATTCTTTTACGTTTCTTCAAATAACTTTTAATTTTTTTTGGGACATAATAATTTATTTACATTAGTTAAAACTAGATAAAATTTACTAAAATCTAGTAAAACCTGTTATATACACTTGGATATCAAAATTTTGAATGATTTATAGTTGAAATGCCGACTTTAGTATTTCCCAAAATTTGCATTACATATATGAATTTAGAACATTTTTTTCTTTACTTTTGTTTAAATAACTTTTAATTTTCTTTTAAGACATCCTAATTTATATACATTAGTTAAAACTAAATAAAATTTACTAAAATCTAGTAAAACCTGTTATATACACTTGGATATCAAAATTTTGAATAATTCGTAGTTGAAATGCGTGTTTTAGTATTCTCTTAATTAGCAATTCATATATGAATGAATTTAGAACATTTTTTTTACATTTCTTCAAATAACTTTTAATTTTCTTCCAAGACATTATTATTAGGTTGTCAAATATCTCCCTTCCGCTTTTTTGCTCTTGGTTTATAATACAAAAAAGCGGAAGGAAGATATTTGACAGCCTATTATTATTTTACATTAGTAAAAACTAGATAAAATTCACTAAAATCTAGTAAAAACTGTTATATACACTTACATAGTGAAATGTTGAATAAAACTTGTTGTAATATTGATTTTCTGGTAATATATTTATCAATATGCGAATTTTTTTATTTGCATAAATTTATTGGCGATCAAAATAATATACATACATTTATATGTGAATTTGGGTCATTTTTTTTACATTCTTTGGAATATCTTAGAAATTAGTTCCTAGCTACTATGTTGTATATATATCAGTGAAAACTAGATAAAATTGACTAAAATCTAGTAAAAGCTGTTATATACACTTGCATATTAAAATTTTGAATAATTTGTAGTCGAAATGTGGACTGAAGTATTTTAATAATTTACAGTTCATGGATTTAGGACATTTTTTCACATTTTTTTAAACAACTTGCTTTAAACAACTAGTTTTGACGACTTTTATGAGTTTGGATGTTTTTATTTTAAAATCGGTTTTTATATGATATTGAGAGAGTTTGTTGATAGTTTTGCTTTCTGCAGATTTTGAAAATTTTGTACATTTGTTGTTTATTTTAGTATTTTGATAATTAGTAATATGTGAATTTTAGTCATTTTTTATGTTTTTTTAGAATATCTTGGAAATTTGTTCCCAGCTATTTTATTTTATATATATCAGCGAAAACTAGATAAAATTTACTAAAATCTAGTAAAACCTGTTATATACGCTCGGGTAATAAAATTTTGAATAATTTGTAGTTGAAATGCTCTTAATGTCGTAGACTTTAGTATTCTTCAATATTTTCGTAATGGCAGAACATTTTTTACTTTTCTACAAATAACTTTTAATTTTTTTCTAAGACATAATGATTTATTTACATTAGTAAAAACTAGATAAAATTTACTAAAATGTAGTAAAAACTATTATATACACTTGGATACTGAAATTATGAATAATTCGTACTTCAAGTACAGACTTTAGTTTTTCCCACAATTTGCTTTACATATATGAATTCAGAACAATTTTTTTTACATTTTTTCAAATAACTTTTAATTTCCTTTTAAGACATTATAATTTATTTACATCAGCAAAAACTAGATAACATTTTCTAAATGATAGTAAAAACTAATACTTACTTTTATTATTCAGAAATTTTATTTATATTATTTATTAATTTTACTTTTATTATTATTTGCTTATATTTTATATCAAATCATATTACGGATATTATTTTCATTTAAATTTTATCCTTTGCACTTTTATTTATTTAAATTTATGTTATTATTTATCAATATTACTAGATGTTAATAATTTAACAGTTGTAATAATTATTGAATTTAAAAAAAAAAAACTTATAGATTTTAAAATTTTGAATAATTTATAGTTGAAATGCAGACTTCAATATTTTCATAATGGCAGAACATTTTTTACTTTTCTACAAATAACTTTTAATTTTCTTCTAAGACATTATTTTTCATTACATCAGCAAAAATTAGATAAAATTTATTAAAAACTAGTGAAAACTGTTATATACACTCGTATATCAAAATCTTGTATAACTCATACTTCAAGTGCAGTCTTTCCCACAATTTGCTATACATATATGGACTTATGACATTTTTTTACGTTTCTTCAAATAACTTTTAATTTTCTTCTAAGACATTATAATTTATTTACATTAGCAAAAACTAGATAAAATTTACTAAAATCTAGTAAAACTTGTTACATACACCCGGATACCAAAATTTTGAATAATTTATAGTCGAAATGCCGACTTTAGTATTCTGATACCAACTTTCAATATATTTTTAGGCAAAAGTAGTTCTCGATACAATAGTTTGCATGTTTTCTGGATATTGTGAAGACGAATATTCTATCGAATATTGTGAAGTCGTTAATTCCGATGGGTCCAGTGTGAAATATCCAGAGCTCCAATATAGGGATGATTTTATTAATTGGGAGCAGGCTAATAAATATATTGGAATCAAGTAAGAAATAATATATATATATATATATATATATATATATATATATATATATACTAGCGCTAACCCGGCAAACGTTGTTTTGCCATAAAAATATGCCTAAATTGATAAAAAATTAATAAAAGTGCCAAAAATCAAATATTTAATAGATTTGGACTCTGATTCTTTGACAAATAGTTAAAAACTTGTTATAATTTTCAAAATTATTTGACATTTCATACTTCCGAAATTAATTCACTCGCATCATAGTTTTTTTGTTTATTATACTTTTGTCATAAAATTTTCCTTCAAATATTATTTATTTGTTAATAAATTAATAATTATTTTAAGTCATCAATTAATAATTATATAATTGTTAAATTCATAAGTTTGGCTAAATCAACACAGGAATATTGTGGAAATAAATATTTTTTTACATAAAGATCTGATTTTTGACATTTGCATTTTATTTCAAATTAATTATAACTGTCAAAATATTTTCTTTTCGGTCAAAATTCAATATAATATGATATAATATTTAGTTTGTCTAATTTGTTTTTGTCAGATTCCAATGATACCCTCAGATTGTACTATTCCATTCAAGAGGTTACAATTTCCTGTAAGATTAGCATTTGCGATGACAGTCAAAATATATCTTAACTGATATATTAATAATAATATTATATTTTAATTACACAAATTTCTTTACATCCCGATAAATAATTCCAACGCATCATAGTGTTTTGTTTATTTTAATTTTATTTATGTCAAATAGTGAAATTTTTTTTAAATCAATGAATAAATTAGATTTCAGTCTAAATCAACGCACTACCTTTATCTAAATATACAATTTTTTATATAAATATCAGATTTTCTACTTTTGCATTTAATTTAAAAATATTGAATGTCAATATCATATATCTAATATGCACTAAATTTTTAAATGCCAAAATATTTCCTTTTTGATCGATATGATATAATTTATATCTATAATTTTATTGGCAATATTGCCTATAACATAACTTGGAATAAATAATTTGTTTCTTATTGAAGTCGTTAAAAATTATTTTTTTTTGAACTGTCAAAATGTTTTTATGAAATTCAATATGTCGCTTTTTTATTGTGATCTATAATGTTTTAATCGCTGATCAAACAAATTTTCGACTATAAATTGATATTCATTTTATCCCTGAAACTAACATGGATAAAGTTCTGAGAAATTTGATTCCAAATCTATTAAATGTTTGATTTTTGACATTTTTATTAATTTTTGTACTGTAAAATATTGAATGATTATTTATCAAAATTGTAATATTTAGACTATAATTTTAGATGAATATGCTATCTATTTTGGCATAGCAATTAGTTTTTTTTTTATTTGAAATCAAGTGAAACATAAATATATTCATTTGATATTTTTCCATAAATATCCGATTTATGACATTGTTTTCAATTATTTTTAATTTATTTTGAATTAGCAAATGTCAAAAAATATAATTAAAATTTGCATTAAATATTGTCTATAAATAATATGTCATTTTATAAGTATTATTTATTACTCTGGTGCTTGATATGGATATAAGTTTGTAATAAAATAGATTCTTTCTGACAAATAGTTAAAAACTTGTTATAATTTTCAAAATTATTTGACATTTCATACTTCCAAAATTAATTCACTCGCATCATTGATTAGTCTAAATCAACGCAGTATTATTATCTAAATATACAATTTTTTATATAAATATCAGATTTTGCATTTAATTTAAATAGTGAATGTCAATTTCATATATCCAATATGCACTAAATTTATAAATGTCAAAATATTTCATTTTTGGTCGAAAATGATAGTATCTATTTTACAATACTGTTTGGTATCAATAATTTGCTTGGCAATATTGCCTATAACATAACTTGGAATAATTTATTTATTTGCTTCTTATTGAAGTAAATCGTTAAACATTTTTTTGTGAAATGCCAAAATTTTGTTTATGATTAATTTTAAATTAAATATGTCGCTTTTTTATTGTGATCTCTGATCTATAATGTTTTGATGAAGTTTTGGTTTCCAAAATAATTTGGTAAGCTAATCAAATAAATCTAAATCGTAAATCTATTTATATAATTATTTTCATGAATATTGACAAATGACATTTCACTTTTTTCATGTCAACATTTATTTAAATTTATAAACATTGATTTTTAATTAGATTTAAAACTATAAACAATGATTTTGAATATAGCATTTCATCTAATTCGGATATGCATATTGGATATATCTATATATGTATATGTTTTTGATATATATTTTTTGAACTGTCAAATATTTTTTTTCAAAAATCATAAAACTTTTTTCTCGATTTTTTCATTAATTTTGACATTTGTCATTTTAGTGTTTTGTTTTTTTTTGGTCATTTTCTGTCAAAATTTTTAGAAATTTATAAAAATTATATATGTATATTTAAAATTTACTTTTCAAAATTTCCTATAACCTAAGTTGGATATATATGCACACGATGAGCCAATAAAATTTAAAATCGGTTTAGTAGTTTGGGCGTCCATCGCGAACCAACATCGTGACACGAGATTTATATATATATATATATATATATATATATATATATACGAGGTGTGTTCAAAAAGTACCCGGAATTACTAATAATTAAATTTCGCGGGTCTGGAGTGTCTGATTGTCAAAATTTTTTTTTTATTGTGTTGGTATACATGCCCCTAAAGTATGATGAAATTTTCAGCTATATTCACTGTTTACTTTGTCTGTGGTAGTCGCTAAGTTCGACGTGTTTTTCTGAGCTCGGCCATTTTTACAATGGAAGAATTGAAAAGTCAAAGAATTTGTATTAAATTTTGCGTAAAAAATGAAATAAAGTGTTGCAAAGTGCAAAAATTCACCAGATATGGCTCCGTGTGACTTTTTCCCATTCCCAAAGTTGAAGAGACCCATGAAAGGACGGCGGTTTTCCTCGATTGAAGAAATAAAGGCCGAATCGCCGAGAGTGCTCAAGGACATATCAAAAAGTGAATATCAAGGGTGCTTCGAAAATTGGAAAAAACGCTGGCATAAGTGTATTATATCTGGGGGGGGACTACTTTGAAGGGGACCACATTAATGTAGACGAATAAATAAATATTTTTTTGAAAAAACGAAAATTCCGGGTACTTTTTGAACAGACCTCGTATATATATATATATATATATATATATATATATATATTCGATGATTTCTAAATATTTCCGATTATTTTTTTGTTTATAGAGAACCTGCTGATAAAATAGCCTCAATGTTAACACGTATGTGTCTAGTTTCGCAAGTTGAAGATGGAACTAAGTTGAAAGTTACAATTCCTCCGACGAGACATGATGTTATTCATGCTTGTGATATATATGAAGATGTGGCGATTGCGTATGGGTAAGTCTAATTAAGAATTATCAATTATATTTTTTTTTGGCTTAAAATACACCTTTTAAAATATGATTAATATAACTAACTAGCAAAACCGACGAACTCCGTTTCGACACCAGATGGTTTCGTGAGAAAGATGAAGAAATTTTTTGTTTGTTTTATATTTCAAAAGGAAAAATTTGATTTTATTGCACAACAGTAATGATTTTATTTCGATTACAAAAATGAAGTGTTTTTAGTTGAACTTCTCTAAGTAAATAAAAGTGAATCCGCAAATTATCCGTTTCATTGAAGTGCTCTTTGGTAAACCACATTTTTTGTTTTCTGGTCTGACGTTAATACAAACAAAGCGGATGGTTTCCGAACTCGTGAACAGGCAACGTATAACTGCCCATGTGAAAAACAATGATTTTCTAAATAATCTATTTGAAATTTATCCCGCAAACACTAAGCGATTGGCCTTGCGACTTGTTATTGCGAACGCAAGGCGAACTGGAAATTGCAATCGTTTGAAGTCAAACGGAAGACCAGTCGGAATCATTGGTATGTCACCAAATCGGCAGCAATTTTTGATTGAATGGTGAAATTCAGTGCGTGTACATCATTATTCTTTGCGGCAAGAATTGCTCGTTGACTTAACCAATTATAATTCTGATTTTTTTTGATATTTAAACAAAATATTAAAAATCAACATATAGTTTTATTTTGCAATATTATGAAGCAAACTAGTGGGGCGCATGGCATTGTGCCTTAAGGCAAATTGCTGGATCTTCTCGTACCAAAAATTATTTTTTTTTTAAATTGATTAACATTTTTGAAAAAAATTTACTCTGAAAAATTAGATTTTTGAGAAACTATAAATTTTCGTCAATTTTTTTTTTTTTTAAAAAAAAAAAAACTTTTTGAAGAAAAATTTATTTTGAAATATTTTGGAAATTCTGAACTATTTTTCAAAGCAATCGTACTGCTTTAACTGCATAGAGACGAAATATCGAAGCGCGTAAGCGCCGCGTCGCCGTCTAACTGATAAGCATTGGTACGGAACCCATAGGAATGTAAAAAAAATATACTTATTGTTAAAATCTCTGTAAAATATCTGATAATTTGATGTGCATATGTCTAATGATCATTTTTCACTGCCAGATGGCATTTTTTTTTACTTTTTTTTTTTACTAGATTTCCGAAATCGCTTGGCCTACCTTCATGAAAATTTGATCAGTTTTTCGTCTTGTTAATACAAGTAAAATGTTTTTTGAATTATTCAAATTGGATGCTCCGGTCTCTTAAAAACTGAGTTACCGTTTTTGACACTTTTTGCCCCGTATCTTCGGAACGGCTAAACCTGCCTCCACCAAAATCTAATCAGCACGTTTCCTTATCAATATGAATCGAATGTTTTTTAAATTATTTAAATCGGTTGATCGGTGTTCCCGAAATCGTCGACGAAAATTTGTATCCGCACACATACACACACGCCCACACATACACACACACACATACATCCATTTTTTCTAAGGTATGCCAAAATATTCAGAAACCTTTGAAACGTCGAGAAATGCAAAAATTTTCATTTTCGATTTTTTTTCGATTACTATAACTTACCCTACGGGAAGTTAAAAATGATGCATACCCCTTACACCTCACCCCTTTTTAAATATTTGAGAAATCCATAAGGATTTTTGTTTATTTTTTAACTTCCCGAAGGAGAAGTTTGTTTTCATCAATAAATCCGATTCTCTAATTTTATGTTTTCTCCTGGACGTTTCAAACCGTTCTGAATCGAATGAGACTAAATTTGGAAAAAGTATTTGTGTGTGTGGAACAGATTTTTTACCGTTTTTTCAAAATCGATTCCAAAAACAATTATATAAAAAAGAAAAAAAATTTTACGATTTTTTCGTAAATTCGTTCGAAATATTTGACGTAAGGTAGGGCGTTCATTTATCACGTGATGTTTTAGGGGATGGGAGGTTTGACAAAAAATTACGAAATATCACGTGGGGGATCGCGGGGTATATTAAGATATAACGTGTATTTATTTTTAACCTGATTTTTTTTATAAATCCAAACATTTAAAAAAAAATCAATCTCACATTTTTTTCTCATAACTAAAAATAATATAATATAATTATAATATAATATTGAATATCACTACGAATCACCAAGGGGAAGGGGGGTTCAAAAATCCTTATAATATTGGTCACGTGATCAATGGACGCCCTCTTATATTTTGTCTTAATTATTTGGTCACGAATTAATTTTTATTTTTTATCAGGTATAATAATATTAAGAAAAGTTTGCCGGGTGCTGCTTGCATTGCAAAACAATTTCCAATCAATCAACTTACCGAACACCTTCGCCAACATATTGCTCATGCTGGATTTACAGAAGCCCTAACCTTTTCGCTGGTAAGTTGTAATAAAAAAATAATGATGACAAATTAGATTTGATTCAAAAAAACGTGATGAATGAAACGTTTTTTTCTGTTTTATATTTTTAGTGTTCCCGTGACGACATAGCGACAAAGCTGAATCATAAAATAGAATCTTTGCCCGCTGTTCATATCTCGAATCCGAAAACACTAGAGTTCCAAGTTGCTAGAACTACCTTAGTGCCTGGTTTGTTGAAAACGTTAGCTGCCAATAAAAAAATGCCCTTGCCTTTGAAATTGTTCGAAGTCAGTGATGTCGTCTTGAAGGATTCCACAAAAGGTAAAATAAAAAATAAAATAATAAAAAAGGTAAAATAAAAAATCAAAGAAGAAATAAAAAAAAGAAAAAATTTAAAAAAAAATATATAAAAATATAAAAATGTCTATTTTTACTTGAAAATATAAATAAAAGATAACTGTTACATAACATATTAACCCTATCCACTCGCGAATTCCAGAATTTATATGTATTTTACCGCCGGAGCGGCGGCATCCGAGTCGAAAGGGTTAATATTTTTTTAAATTGTCTGTCTCGTTTGAGCTAGTTTCCGAAACTGCGTACCGATTTTAATTGAAATTAAGTTTAGTAGTTTTCTGGTAAAATTGATTAATATCTGTGGGGTCCATTTGTATAAATTTAATAATTAAGCAAATTTTTTACAAATCTTTTTGAAAATTTTTATTTTTATTTTTTTACAACAGTTTACTAGCCTAAAATATTTTGCAGCTTTTCCTAGGTCTATAATATTTTACAACTTCTTTTATGCCTATAATATTTTACTACTTTTCATAGGCCTATAATATTTTACAACTTTTCATAGGCCTATAATATTTTACAACTTTCCATAAGCCTATAATATTTTACTAATTTTTATTAGCCTATAATATTTTGCAAACTCTTTTATGCCTATAATATTTTACAAATTTTTATTGGCCTATAATATTTTACAAACTCTTTTATTCCTATAATATTTTGCAACTTTCCATAGGCCTATAATATTTTACAACTTTTTATAGACCTATCATATTTTACTTTCCATAGGCCTGTAATATTTTACAAATTTTAACAAGCGTAAAATATTTAACTTTCCATAGGCCTATAATATTTTACAAATTTCCAAGAGTTTTCAAAATCTGTTCATTATTAACTGACTAATTGATTTTGAAATATTGTTATTTTCACAGGCCTATAATATTTTACGAAGTTTTTTATTAACAAATTTTCAAAATCTATTATTTTTGCAAAAACATTTATTAACTAGCGCCTTTATATATTTTATTGTTTTCGCAGGCTTATAATATATTACAACTTTTCATAGGCCTATAATATTTTACAAGAATCGTTTCCAATCTCAAGTCTATTCAATGAATTTCCAAATTCCGTTTATGATTTTTTGTAACTAATTGATTTTAAAATAATTTATTTCCATAGGCCTATAATATTTTACAACTTTCCTTATGCCTATATATTTACTATATATATATCATTATTCCTATAATATTTTACGAAGTTTTTTATCAACAAATTTTCAAAATATATTATTTTTGCAAGAAATATTAAATATTAAAAATGATGCATACCCCTTACACCTCACCCTTTTTTAAATTCTGTGAAATTCGTAAGGATTTTTGTTTATTTTTTAACGTCCCGAAGGAGAAGTTTGTTTTCATCAAAAAATCCCTTTTATTATTTCTATAGGCCTATAATATTTTACAACTTTCCACAGGCCTATAATATTTTACAAAGTTTTTTGCCAACAAATTTTCAAAATCTGTCATTTTTTGCAAGAAAATTCATTAACAAGTGCACTTAAAATATTTTATTGTTTTCACATGCCTATAATATTTTACAACTTTCCATAGGCCTATAATATTTTACAAGGATTATTTCGTAACTGACTTATTAATTTTGAATTATTTTATTATTTCCATAGGCCTATAATATTTTACAAAATTATTTATCAACAAATTCGTAAAATCTGTCATTTTTTGCAAGAACATATATCAACTAGCGCCCTTAAATATTTTATTGTTTTCGCAGGCCTATAATATTTTACAACTTTCCATAGGCCTATAATATTTTACAAGGATTATTTCGAACCTCAAGTCTATTGCCAATGAATTTCCAAATTTCGTTCATGATTTTGTATAACTGACTAATTGATTTTAAATGATTATTATTTCCATAGGCCTATAATATTTTACATCTTCTCATAGGCCTATAATATTTTACACGCTTCATTTCGAATCTCAACGCTATTGCCAATGGATTTTCAAATTCTGTGCATGATTTTTTATAACTGACTAATTGATTTTGAAATATTTCATTATTTCCATAGGCCTATAATATTTTACAACCAGAAATTTCATTTTTCAGAGGTGGGCGCCCGTAATGAGAGACACGTCTGTGCAGTGAATTGTAACCGAAATGCTGGTTTTGAAATTGTCCACGGACTACTCGATCGAGTCATGAAGGTTTTGGAAGTACCGTGGAATACTGACGATGGTTATTGCATAAGGGGCAACGATACAGGTAATAATTAAATTCAATTATTAAAATACAAAGCATTTTTACAGTTTTTAGTACCAAGAAACCATAGATAAACAAGTATAAATAGATAGGCAACGCGGCCGCTTTGATGTGACATCAATTTTAATAATAGATGCCGCCACTAACCGTAGCGCGTAAATTTACCCGTAGGTTCAATTCTAGGATAAGATTTATATAAATATTTAATATAGTAAAGTTGAACATGAGTAATTTGAAATTGAAATGAGAACAAAATATACGCGTCGAAAATATGATTTGCAACAAAATAACAAATTTGTTGTAAAAAATATTTAATAATATTTTTTTCATTCAAAATAGATATATTTCAATATATAAAATCGGTACTTGAACGTTTAAAGTACGTGTACTACATCTAGTGACTGTGTTTTATTATTTGAAGCACTCAAGCACCATCTGTGATACGCTGAAAACACTCGATACTCATACAGAGTAAAGCGCATTTTTTCCCCCCATGCAAGAATTAAATGTTACCATAACAACGCTATGTTATCGTCTATTACTTTTATTACGTGATACATTTTTTTTTATAATTATATTTCTAGATCCCATGTTCTTTCCGGGACGATGTGCTGATATCCTGTTACGAGGAAAAATAATTGGAAAATTGGGAGTGTTACATCCGACTGTTTTGCAAGCGTTCGAGTTGACCAATCCTTGCTCGGTCGTTGAATTCAGTGTCGAGGATTTTGTTTAGTGATAAACGAAAATAAAAATTGATATTAACATAAATTAAAAATTTGTTATAAATTATTATAAATGACATATTAAATTATATCAGCCGGAAAACATTAATTTATTTTTTATGATCGGAATGAAACATGCTAAGGTATGAATAAAACTTAATTATTTCTACAATTTTGTAACTATATTATAAATTATATGCATTTACATGTGTCATAAAAAATTAAAATATATTATTTTTAACATCCGATCCAGTAATGACGTTTGAGTTATTTTTATTGATTTAATACTCTTATATTATGTTCTAAAATAATTATCATGTTGTTTAATTATACAGCTAGGAATTATGTGTTTTTTTCAACAATTGATGCAGAAATTCAGGTTTTCTCAAGTGTCCTTCTTCGACAAATCAAATTTTGTACATTTTTTTTGTCAATGATTTTTTTTCTAATTTTTTTGTTTTTTTAATTTTTTTGTCAATGTTTTTTTCCTAAATTTTTTTGCCAATGATTTTTTTCTAAATTTTTTGTTTCCTTATTTTTTTTGTCATTTCTTCCTAATTTTTTTTGTCATTTTTTCCTAGTTTTTTTTGTCAATGATTTTTTTCTAAATTTTTTGTTTTTTTAATTTTTTTTGTCAATGTTTTATTCCTAAATTTTTTTTGTCAATGATTTTTTTACTAAATTTTTTGTTTTTTTAA